AAAACCCTGAAATGTTTACCTTTTATACCCGAATCCCACACAAGCCTTGGCTAGGGTACCTTCCGCGAAACTTCGTCTTTGATTAAGGCTGGGCTGATCATCGGATTAAGGGGTTAAGCCGTGAAGAACTTTGCCATGGCAGCGCACGGCATTAACGGTGGAGTTGGGCTAGGATGAAGATGACCTCTGATTGTTTCCCGTGCTTGAGTGAAACGACAACATATTTGAAGGGGCTGGATTTATGCTTCGATCCACAAATTTTGTCCACCTATCTTTTCGGTCCTCAACTTCCTTCGTAGTCACAACTGGGTCCCTGCAGGATACAACTTTCATTTTACATTTTTCTCAATTAAGTACAAAAGGCATTAATTCAATTTAATCCCGAATTTTCTTTTAACAGATTTTCTAAGTTAATTTTCCACATCGATGTTGGGAAATTGATCTTATATATAGGAAAAAAATTAGAAAAGTTGAAAGCATTCATTACTCTTTTTTTCTAACAAATAACACAAGTTGAAATTTATTCAAAAAGTTAGACGTGGTTATAATAAATCTTATGCATTCTAGAAAAGGTTATCTGTATAAATTCTTCTTATTGCATGGTGCTGACACCACGAAGAATGTGTCGACACCATACCCGTGTCGGATTTCCACCCCATTTTGCCATTCCTTCAATGGGCAAATGGCAGATTTGGTCCCCCAGCTTTTATATCTCATAACTTAAGATTCATTCATTTAGATCTCAAAAGGAACTATTGTTCTGGTAATTTAGTCCCTTAACTATAAAAAAATATTTAATTAATCACAAAACTCTAATTATTATGCATTGAAATCCTTTTTTACTAGGGATGGCAACGGGTCCCCACGGGGGCGGGGACCCCTTCCCCATCCCCATCCCCATCCCCACCAATGGCAGGTACGGGGATCCCCACGGGGATTTTTGGCAGAGGATCAAAACTAGCCTCCGTCCCCATACCTGTGGGGAATGATAGGTCCCCGTGGGTATTCGGAGTCTCCACCAAATAAAACTATCACCTGCTCTACTTCTTTTTAATCAAAATTTTTGTTGCTTTTTAATCAAAATTAAGTTCAACATGGGTCTACTTAGACTCCACTAATTTTCACATTCATCAAATAATCATAAAGTAAAAATTTGAAACAAGACAAACAAGCAATAAATATACACAGTCAATATATACATCAACTTTGGATGTTCTACATTAACAGAGTTTCAAAGCAATGGATTTGTAACTCATCTAAATCTTACTGCTAAAAGTCAGAGGCTAGGAATTTCACACATTCAAAAGAACAATTATTAACCCTAATGAACCGAACCAATTTCAAAAATCATTTGCACAGCAAGAACAGACACATCTTCAGTATCCCGAGTCCCATCAAGCTTGAATCCCTTTAATCCTTAACACAGTTTTATCATGAAAAGGCTAAAACTCAATGCCATTTTCCTACAAAAGTCTAGTAAGTTGAGACCTGGCATATTACAATATAACTAGACTTAACACTAATGTAAATCTATTAAACTTGAAAGAGAAATTAAAACCAAACTCCCATTCCAATATATGTCGCACATATTAATCACCCATAAGGGAGCATTCAACTCTGGACATATGCCATTACAAAACCATCACAATGAAATCTGTACATAGTTCAAGAATTAAGCCTCAAATAATCATTATCAACAATACATACAAACACATTAGGGTTTATATGAGATGAGATTATGCAATACCTGCACACACTGCAGAGAAGCGTGGGCGAGATGGTAGCGTGGTTGTGGACAGAGGGTTGATGTAGCCGCTTTCAACGTTGGCTCTGGGAATATCAGACGGCGGCAAGAAACTCCAGAGAGAAAAGGAAGGGCAAAGAAAGCAACGGTAGAAGGAACAGACCCGGAATGGGTGGGGCGGACGTCAAACAGTTCCAACGCGATCGGAGTTTCCCGATTCAGAAATGGATTCCGGCGAATCCTTCAGATTCTCTCGTCCTCAACATGCGAGATTGAAGGAACGCTATTAGGGTTTTCAATTGGGGATTTGAT